CTATGTATTTTGGGGGCTCTTGTGACAAACAAGTAATAGATGGTTCTTCCAGTTAAGACAAAAAAATTAGATTCTATTTGCTCTAAAACTTTCTCAGTTTCATCTAAAGTTCCTGCTTACTTATACTTTGCATCAAAACCAATGAATTATTAACATTTTTTTCATTTCACAGTCGTATGACGGTGGGAAAAATGATAGAACTCCTTGGAAGTAAGGCTGGGGTTTCTTGTGGTAAATATCATTATGGTAGTGCTTTTGGAGAGGCAAGTGGCCATGCTGACAAAGTTGAGGATATAAGGTACACTTTCTTTCTCTTAAAGATTGAGGTCTCTTCTTCTATTTCTAAACTTTTGTTTTGGCATTTAATGTCTTCGTATGTTCTTCTATCATTTCAGTGAGACCCTCGTGAAACATGGATTTTCTTACAGTGGGAAGGACTTTTTATACTCAGGTACTCGATTCGTCACACATTTCAGAGTGACCAATAATGTGTTAAAAATTCATTCTAGTGTCTGTTGTTAAATTCTTTGAATACAAACTTGTTTAGGATCTCACTAAAATGGACTAAGACACAATCTCTTAAAGTTAACTGGGGCATACTTATTCTTTCTCCAAAGTTTGTTGCAAAACAAAGCTATCTGAGATTCATGAATCTGTTTTTTTTTGTACATTAACCTGATGACCTTGAGAGTCTTGCAGGTCTCAGTGGCGAGCCATTACAATCATACATCTTTATGGGGCCAATTTATTACCAGAAATTGAAACACATGGTGAGGTTCCACTAACCTATTTGAACCAATTTTTTGCTGCTTTGTAATCACATACATTTTGTAAATATCAGAGGAAAAATAAACATATAATCTCTGTTTTTGTACTTATGTTGAGTAGGTCCTGGACAAAATGCATGCGAGAGGGAGCGGACCCCGTGTCATGATGACAAGACAGCCTACTGAAGGAAAATCTAAAAATGGAGGTATGTGTCTCTTTCTTCTGTATTTAACTATTGTTCTTCTCTCAATTGTGTCTCTAATGATGTTGCAGGTTTGCGAGTGGGAGAAATGGAACGAGATTGTCTTATTGCTTATGGGGCTAGCATGTTGATCTATGAGCGGCTCATGCTTTCTAGTGATCCTTTTGAAGTTCAGGTAATATATCATAGTGCACTGTTATCATCAACAGCGAATGGATTTCGTATAATCCTGTAAACGATTAGAAAACCCAACTAATTTGTGATGCACGATTAAACATTTTGAATGCAGGTTTGCAGAGCTTGCGGTTTACTGGGATATTACAATTACAAGCTGAAAAAGGCATGTTGTTCAACATGTAAAAATGGTGATAACATTGCTACGATGAAACTTCCATACGCATGCAAGCTCCTCTTCCAGGTAAAACCATTGCTCAAATCGAAACTCTCTCTGCTTAGTCCCTTTGGAAATGATAAAATAATTTTGAATTTTMGATACAATTTCTTCCTGGTATGAATATCTTATGTTTTCCTGACATTTTTTTCTCTTTCTTTCCGCGCAACACATGATTACAGGAACTCCAGTCGATGAATGTTGTTCCGCGTCTGCAACTCACAGAGGCTTGATCGAGCTCAGGGAAATGTTGCCAAACTCTGAAAACTGTCTTGGATTGCTTTTGATTTTCTCATGTCAAAATTTGGTCCTTTCTCCTTTTTGGATGTTTAGACGAATAAGAATCATTCGAATTTTATGTTTTGTTCTCGTATGCTGTGTCGAAACAATGAAAAAGCACATACAAATGAGGAAAAGGTTATACAAAATCACATATTTATTAGATATTTACTTTCTCCCTTGTGATTTAAAATTTTTGCATAGGATAAAGTTTTAGTCATTATCTATGTACTGGATAAAAAAGTTTTAAAACAAAAAAATTATATGATAGTAATTAGGATAATATTTTCTTAATTACCCACTCAAAAGATTCAATCAGTTTCGCACGCAAACACTAGGTTATATTATATGATATCTAATTACAAAAAGAGATCCAAATAAATCTCTCCAAATACAAATATCTTCAGATTTCACAAGGCAGAAATATCATCATATGATATACACTTTTGTTGTCAATGCAACCAAAGTAAAGCAACAACGTCAAT